TTCTAACTATTTTTCAACGTTGATTTAACATCATGTGCTATCTGGGGTGATATGAGGTGTCCAGCTAAGGTTGTTTGTAATGTGAACCCCCAGGAACTTAGTGCTGCTAACGATTTCCACTCTCTGTCGTTGATGAGGAGTGGTGTGTGGTTGGGTTGTGACCTCCTGAAGTCAACAATGATCTCTTTTGTCTTGTCGACCTTCAGGAGCAGGTTGTTTATTCTGCACCAGTCCACAAGATGTTGTACCTCTTTTCTGTTGTTCACTTCATTGTTGTCCTGAATGAGTCCCATAATTGTTGTGTCATCTGTATATTTCATGATGTGGTTGGTGTTAAACCTGGGATGACAATCGTGGGTCATCAGGGTAAACAGCAGGGGGCTCAGGACATAGCTCTGTGGGAAGCCAGTATTTAAAGAAATTACATTGGAGGTGTTATTTCCCACACAGACAAGACTGAGTTCTGTCCGTGAGAAAGCCTAGCAGCCAGTTGCACAATGGAGTATTGAAGCCCAGGGGGACCAGTTTAAGACATGTGATAGTTGGTTTCTTGGGCACTGGAATAATAATAGCTGACTTAAAATATGAGGGGACAATGGCCTGATACAGTGATGTATTGAAGATGTCCGTGAGCACATGGGCTAGCTGGTTTGCACACTCTTCGATCAATAATGAGACTGAGAGGAAAGGAGACAGAAAAAGAGCAAGGCAGGCATACATACTGACTCAGGGATCAGAGAGTACTAACATCCTGATTTGTTCACCAGGCGACTCACTCATGTGTGAACAAATCACAGTACACTGCTGAAGTGGATGAATCTTTATTTTATTTATTTATTATTTATTTTATTATTATTTTATTCTGAGTCACAAAATGTGGAAGTTCCATCCAATTTGGCATGTTTCCACTGGCCTAACCTGAACTGAGAAATGAATAAGTCACTCAATGAAGTGATTCACATAAGTTCATTCACTGAAGTGAACAAATCATACATGAACGACACAACACTAGACCCAGAAGTCGTATCGTGTGCATCAGGAAGAAGTCAAATTCAAGCGGTGTGTCTTGGCCTTTAGGGATTTCAAGGTGTTCATGTGGCCGGAAAATAAGCTAGAATCATCACATCCGACACTTTGGACAAGATGTTTGTTTTTCCAAATATAGAGCTGTGTTTTATGGTCACACATTAACTTGGTCCCAGTTGTCCAAATGACATTTATCCAAAAGTTTAATGTTTTAGATGCAGTTTTGCAGTTCTGCCATATTTTTTTCTTAAAACTGTTAAAATAAATTTAACAGACATATCCACTTACTCTAACAAGGCGTGTGCGTGTATCTATAGGCCCACAGAGCTGTTCCGTAGCTGTAACATGCAGTCAGACCAAGGTGCCATGAACGACATCAAGCTGTGGTCCAATGGGACGATCAAGATGCCCTTCATGAACATCCCAGTCCTGGACATCAGGAAGTGTCTGCCAGACATGTGGAAGGCGGTGGCCTGCTCTCTGCAGATCAAACCCTGCCACAGCAAATCCAGGGGGAGCGTCATATGCAAGTAGGTCTACTGATCACTACATTATCAAAATCCAGGAGAAAACCTCAAATGTCATTTATCTTGGAGCAGTTGCTACAAAGTTAACAGACATATCCACTAGACTTAACTAGACTTTGTAAAAACTAGTTAAAACTGGTAACTATTTAACAGTGGTAAAGCATGAAAAATGACCCAGAATCTTAATTAACTTGAAGAGGAAATATTGTTCCTAAAGCAGAGGAGTAAAAGAGCAACTGGAACAAACTTTTAACTTATCTTCCCTCAGTCTAAATGGGGAATGTTAGATTTATGTTAAATAAAAGGCATAAGACATATGGAGAATCCATTATTCTTTCATGCTAAGTTTAAGACCTGGCTGCATAACAAAGTGGCTGCAGGACTAGAAGGACACAGAGAGGCATAAATACTATGACAGAAATACCACAGCTGACAGGTATTAGCTTCCACTATGCTGCAGTCTTATTAGGGCTTCTTCCCTCTACACCAAACAAAAATACCTCAGTATTTTTCTCCATTTGTGCTTACTTGATTTAAAAGTCTTTCTAGTGCACAGTACATCAGTTTTGCTTTGAAAGTGATGTGCTGTCATTGACAGGAGAGTGTTTTGCAAACTTAAGACATTATTTTAAGATGGAATCCTTTATTGATTCAGCTTAATTAAGTCTACTAGTATAGCATTGTTTCACAACGGGTCGTCTCAGAAAGGTTTAACCACACCTACATTCTTAGCTATGAAACAGTACATTAAGTTTAGGTCAAAATTCAAATTGGTTCTAAAGCTTTTCTGACTAAGGCTCCGTTTACACAGAGCTGGTTTTCAGTGAAACGGAAGATTTACATTTATGTCTCCGATAGAGGTGCACAATAAATCAGATTGGTGATCAGTTGATACTTAAATGTAAGGCCGATCTTATCCATCATTCTTATCTTCCTCAACAGAGGTCTAAATATCAGCCACTGACATCTGTTGCTCTGCTGTCAGAGAGGTTTGACTGACAAACTGGCCCACCACGTCATGTCTGCACTGTTACCAACTCAGCCTTTCTAGCTATATTTAGTGATATTTCAGATAAAAAAGTCAGTATCAGCCAGAATTGTAATTGGTAGATCAAACATTTTAAAGATGGTGATTGGCAATTGGCCAGAAAACTGCAACCGGTGCACCCCTAGTCTTCAGCGATTAGAGACTCTGACACATTGTAATAAAGATGCTTTTTTTAATTTTTTATTTATTTTTTATTTTTTATTTTTTGCATCAGTCATGCATCTTTGCAAAAATCCTTGAAAGTCCTGCTACAACCATCTGGGGCAGTTTTAACACTTGCTCATAAAAAGCCCCACCTATTTATCCAAAGCTTCCACCTCACAGAGCACCCTTATCCTTCTCAGCTCCTCCAGACTAGTGGCAGCAGCAATTAGAAAACAACTGGTGGAACTGTGAGTCTGCTGAGCTCATCATACAAATTACAATTCTCCTAAGAACAGTTGTGAATAGCATCATGGAGGAGCGTTGTTGTAATGACATGTTGAAGGCAGTGTTAAAAAGGGTACCAGGTTCTTAAAGAGACAGAAGCCATTTCCAACTCATCAAGAGGCAAAATTTCTTTTAAGTCATGTTTGCTATTTAGCATCTTTATAACAACTCAAGGTGACATAGCTCATTGATTGTATAAAATGGCACTATGTGCTTGGAAAATACATAGTACTCCCACTTAAACAATTTGCATGTCAGATTTCAGTCATCTTGTATTTTCTTTTGACTTTCCTTCTGCTCTCAGGTCAGACTGTGTGGACATTCTGACCAAGTGTGGGGATAAGAAACGCTTTCATGAAGGACAAACCCCAGAGAGGCTCTGTGAGATGCTGTCTCCCATCGATGACCCTGAACGCTGCATCCCCCTCCACAGATATCTCAGTAAGTTGCTGTTTATGATATTTTATCTTCCATTGTTTGGAAGGAGCTATTCTTTGCTTTAGTTTTATTAAAGGAGCCTCCTTTAGTCATGAACATTCTGACAAGCTTTAACCACTTTGCCAATCTTTGCTTTCCAGCCAGTTACTGAGAAAGTACCAGCAATATTTGATTCAATAAATTCATTTAAAATTTAATTGTCAGATTGATTGCATTTGTTCTTTAGGAAAAAATGTTATTTGGTATTTTTTCTGTGGTGTGATAGTGGCACAGCACAGTCTATCAGTCATCACTATCCTCCTGACTACCAGGAAAAAAATATTGTCCATTCACCATTTTTTTTAAATCCCACAGTCTTTGTAAGGTAATAAAAGGTTTTATGCACTTACTTTGTCTCTTCCCATAAAATGTGTTATTACAGATAAATGCCATTTCTATGAATTAGAAAAAGGAAGGTACAAAAGTCCCACCCCTTCACATGTGGTATCATTGAAAAGCCCTAAATGTCCTCTCCAGATACCAAAAGGAATTAATTCAGTAGAATGCAGGGGGTGGGAGATATTCGAGTTTAGAAATGTCCTCTACAGAGGACAAAAATGAACTACTGGCAGTCAGGAGGATATAATGATATCCTGTCATGGAAATAAAGATCCCATCAGTCCAAATACAGTCATGAGTAAACTAAGCACCACCTTTTAAAGACAGTAAGTTAAATCATCTACTTGCTGTATGAATCTATTTTATAAAATTAAATTAAACAATTTTTATTTTTTAAACAACCTCTTGGTTGCACTACCTCTTGGAATTAGATAGTACAGTCAGAAGATGTACACCATTATCCGTACACAAATTTTATTTTATGTCTCCATTTTAGTCTCTTGTCACGTCTTGAAAGTTCAGTATATATTGATGTTTAGTAGTTTCTTTGAATAATTTGACAAAACCGTTTTGAGTTATTGTTGTTTTTTTGCATTGATGAAATACTAGTTAAATACATGAGCAACTACACCAGCATCATCATCTATATTTAGTTGTTGCTTTGGTTATTGCTGTTAATTTCTCTAAGTTCTGCCTGATTTCTTTAATGTTTCCTTTGAATTGTTGATAGCATAAATAAAAAAAGATTACTTTTGGTTGTCTGAGCTCTTTTATTACTTTATTTCTTAATGTAATGCATAAACATTTATCATGTTCCTTTCTACTCTTAATGATCATTTTAAGGCATAATTATCTTTAAATCAGATTAAACATTCCTTTTAATATTTTAATTGTGCACAAAAAAAGCATGACGAAATTTAAAAAACAGCAACCCTTGAAGAAACGCATTAAAACTGTTATAGATAGATAGATAGATAGATAGATAGATAGATAGATAGATAGATAGATAGATAGATAGATAGATAGATAGATAGATAGATAGATAGATAGATAGATCTGGAATTTGTCATTTGTAATATTTTGTTTCATTTTATATGCTGGATGAAATCTGTCATCACAAACTGACTCAGGTCTTCCATCCCTCCAGCACCAAGTTCACTGAGCAACACCATAGTGGAGGAGATCATCCATCCATGCAACCCTAATCCATGTCAAAGCAACCACATATGCCAGGTCAACAGAAAGGGCTGTCTTGATGAAATCAACTGTCAACCATATCTCTGTGTGCCAGGTAGGGGGCGCTGCTGCTGCAGTATTTGCTAGCTGTTAGGCGTTATACCTTGGTATCTGAGATCTTGGTGTGTTTCAGGTTGTAAAATGGGAGAGGCTTCTGAATTTCTGGTGCAGCAGGATGCTCTCACCCAAGTTCCAACTCGTGATGGAGCTCCCAGTTGCCATGAGATGTGCAGCTGTGGCACCAGTGGGCGTCTGGAGAACTGCGTGGAGATTCCCTGTGTAGAAACAGACAAGGGCTGCGTTGTAGAGGGGCAACGAAAGAGTAAGTCTTATGTCTTATAAAAGACATAAGAGGTATAAGATTTATTGTTATAAGTTCTATTCAGTCAGCAGTGAATAGAACACCATGAATAAAAACTAGACTCTGGGTATCCAGCTCCAGTCTTCCAGGGACGATGTCCATTCAGGTGTAGATGTGTCTGCTCCAACACAGCTAATTCAAAAGGCCCAACTTCCTCCTCAGCAGGTCAAGGTTCTGCAGAGGATCTGCTAACGACAACATGCAGGACACAGACTAGAGGAATGGCTTTGTTTATGAGTACATAACCGACGTTATGTACATCAGTTATGTACATAACGTCGGTTATGAGTACATAACCGGCGTTATGTACTCATAACAATTAGCATTTAGCATTTTCTTTTTGCTAAATGCTAGAATAATGGGAAATGGATGGACAAACCTCTGGTAGCAAGACAAAGCAGGAGAGACCTCCTCCCACCTGACCACCCCCAGCCCCTAAGGCACCAGACAGCCGCCTTAGCTAGAACTCAGGAGGACCAGAGGATGGTCCACCAACCTGAGCCAGCAGCAGCAGTCGGTGACCCACCTCCACTGCAGTGCTGGCAGCTACAGTGCCCCCATTCCAGACCCAGTATAGGACAGCACCACAAATACCAGCAAATATTATTTTATTAAAATGTTTTGTTTTCTGTTTTGTCAGAAGGTTGTTTTCCTTATTCTTTTCATTTTTACTCAGCTTAGTTAAATGTTCCTACATTAGAGTTTCTTGACAGAAGTATTTTAACTGGAAGATGAACAATTTTATGACTTAATTTGTGCATTTTGGAGAGACGTTGTGTTTATGGTGTACATGTTTCCATCAAAGCTTTTTTATTTAAATAGGCTTTTAATTCTCCAATGCATGATGGAAATTTTGGCTTCATCTACCTTCTTTGTTTTATCTATCTTGGTTTTAGCCAGCTGATATGTCTTTTTTGTGAAGCACTTCAGTGGCCATTATAGATGATATGTACAGGGCTACAGCAATAAATTGTTGATTGATTGAATAATTATGCCACCTTGTAAATTCCCTCTCTTATCTATTTTTCTATAACATCATACATCACAAGGCAGGTATTCATAAACAATAATTGACTGAAAGCTATACTATACCCTGATAGTCAGATGGTGCCACAACTTGGTTATTGTGATTATAACCTTTGTTAATAATTGAATTTGCCACTTAATAGTTATCCCAAGCTATTACTGAACAACACCAAGGTTAGAACTTCAAGATTGATACTGATTGGTGCCAATATATGGATCCTACTAGCGCAGTATTGAATTAAGTTTCATCATGCAGCCATACCTGCTGAAAAACATTTATTCTGTGTAACTCTGTAGTACGACTTTGAGCCCCTTGTCATTTGGTAACATTACTGTAATGACTCTGTCTCCAGTACGGTACCCTGCTTTTATATGCAAAGTCAGAGGACCAAAAACTTTAAACTACTTTTTTGTGAAATAATGAAGCTTTCAATAAGTAGTTCCTTTGTCTTTTGTTGCTTTGCTGTACTCCACCTTCAGACCATGGGACGACCTTTAGAATTGACTGCAACACGTGTTCCTGCTTTGCTGGAGAAACAATCTGCTCTACCAGGAAATGTCCCACAGAAAGTGTCCATTGGACTTCTACTGGTTGGTGTCTTTAATGATTTCACTTGTGTTGGGGAATATTCGACAAGGCCATCAAAAAGATAAACTGTCAGATGGCCATATCTCATTGGCTCACGTGTTTATGTGTCCTAATCTGTGAGTTTTTACTCTCTCTCTCTCCCTCTGTGTCTCTCAGATCTTCCCTGTAACTGCCCATATCGTTTCATCCCAGTGTGTGCCTCCAATGGGCGGACCTATCCCAGTGGATGTGTGGCTCGTTGTATGGGATTCAAAGACCACCAATATGTCTTTGGCCCCTGCCATTCCGTTAAACCTTGCTCTGACATAACCTGCCAAAGAAACCAGAGGTGGGTTCAGTAAACGACCAGAACATATGTTTAAACTCCTTAACACTCAGGAAAGCACTTCTATTATCAAACCTTTTCTGTCCCTCTGCCCTCCCTGGACAGATATCTGGTTGTTATTTCAGGTGGTTTGATTTTGTCTAAGCAGATCCATTGACACCATTTCATTCACAAACCTTCTGATGTCCCTGGTCTCCTCTCTTTAGCCTCCTCACCCTAAAAACAAATGCTCCACAGCTTTCAAAGCTTCCTTGCCTCTACAGATTTGTGGATCTCAGATACCACAGATGCAAAAGGCCAATAAACAAGATTACATTAGAATGAGACCACCCACTTATTTTTCCCGGGAATCATTTGAGGGGTTATTTCATATAAGCCGAAGTGCCATAAATTCTAGATAAAACCATGTATTGTATAAATAATCACATGCTGTGCTTATTTGCAATTATTTATAATGTGTGTAACAGATTATTGTCACCACAACACAATATAACACTATAAACATGAGGAAATGTCTTCTACTTAACAAAGACAAATGGGGTATGATGTGCCAGTCCCTGGGACCACTGCAGCTGATTTAATGGTGAGGCCTCAGTACTCTAGAGCCAGGTCCAGAGTTTTGGGTCTACTTGAATGTCTCCCTCTAGTGGGAAGTGGCTTGAGAGCCGAGAAACAGCAGGCGCAAATCGTGACACCGCACCTACCATGGAACTTCCGGTGGCATGTGTCACGGCAACCACTGTTTTCGGGGCAAGCTGCCAGTGTTGTCACTGACTTCAGCTGACTTTGGCACCTCATACTGGCAATTCCACTGACACCTGCTGTTATTGGTCACAAGTGTCATTGTTTTCAGGGCTAGCTGCCAGTGTTGTCACTGACTTCGGCTGACTTCGGCTGACTTCGGCACCTCATACTGGCACTTCCGCTGACACCTGCCGTTATTGGTCACAAGTGCCATTGCTTTCGGGGCTAGCTGCCAGTGTTGTCACTGACTTCGACTGACTTTGGCTGACTTCGGCATCTTCCAAGGGTTGCCGCTACTTCATACTGGCACCTCCCACGCCTCACGGACCGCTCTCGCCTATTGTCGCTGACGAGATTTAGGGCGGCCATCTTAGAGCGGTCGACCGCTCCACTCAGCGTTATACGTTTGGCTGGCACGATGAAGTATTTGCGCATTTAATCTTTCATAACACGCTGTTTCGCTACTGGAAACCTTATACAAACAGCTGCATTTATAAACAATTGTATTTTTTAAAGTATTTTTAAATTGTATTATACATAGTTCAGCATATTTAAATATGCTTAGTGGGGAAAACAATAGAACAGTAATAGAATATTCTTTGGTGACAGCTTCTGTGTCAGATTTAAAATGAATGAATTTATAATTCAAGAAAACACCGATGGATCTGGCACAAAGTATTGCATTTCCTCTTAAGTGTTGTGTTCCCTTAAAAAAGCAAATACGCCCTGGTCTATTTTGGATACAGTCTCAAATTTCAGTTTCCAATAAAGAGCCTCAGTGAAAACATGTTGACAGCTGCTGTAAGATGCCACTTGTGCCACAGGCTTCCGGGTAAGGTGCCACTTGTGCCACCTTACCACTGGGTAAGGTGGCCACTTAATTCTATTTGTTTGAACTAAAGTTATTCATATGCTACAGGTCACACCAGTCCGTGGCACCCATGGTCACGGGCTGCTGTGCCACCTTACCCGTTGCTGCCTTACTACTGGGTAAGGTGGCACAAGTAAGGTGACACAAGTGGCCATGAGTGCCACGGGCTGCTGTGACCTCATTCTATCTGTTTCAGATAGAATGTAGCATATGAATAACTTTTAGTTCAAACAAATAGAAATAAAATATATCTTAATTGAAACATAATTCTCATACATATTTAAATATAAAGGCGGTGTTCCAACTTAGCAGAGAAAGACAACACCTGCACTGAATGCATGTCAGATGGGACCTCTTCTGCGACAGCTGATAATAGCTACCACTTGGTACCACTACAACTGACTGGTCGCCATGGTATGTCAGTGCTGACAAGTTTCTGTCAGTTCCGGATTATAATTATTTTCATACAATTACCTTAATATAATGCTATTACTAAACCGGGTAAGTTCACTAATATTGACTTATTAGTTAATATTGGTGACAGTGGCAACATGAGATATTGACAATTCCAGAGTGACATTATGTTCAGCATGGTTCCATGACAGTTCAGAGGATGTCATAAATTCCCAAGAAAGTAATAGACCAGGCAGCCACTATAACTTTCAGAGTTTTTTTTTTTTAAGATAATGCAAAGTTTTTGGAAAACATGTTATTAAAATTTTCCAAAAATTCCTGTTAACCAGTTTTAAAGAGTTATTACTTATTATTTAATAAATTTAATATATGCTATTTCTCATTAATTGTGAAGTTCATTCCAGATTTGTGCGGCATAAATGAAGGTTGGTTCTCCATGTTCATTTCTGGTACTGGACATTGTCTTTAAAGTTTTCTTATTCAAAGATGAGACAATGAATAAAATCTGAACTACAAAATGCATTTCAATAGCATTTTCAAGGCAGCAGGAGGACTTTCACTTTCAAGTTAAACCACCTTCAAATTTTTTACACTGAAGAAAGTCAAAACGGAAAGTATGTACACCTCAAAAACTTTGACAATGTGTGAATCCTAAGCAACATTAAGAACAAGGTTGTTACATATTTTTGAAAATAAAAATTACTTTGGGTTATACTATATGGAAATGCTTTTTTAAATGAAAATTGTGCTGTTTACATATTATTTTAATTGGCAGATATGTTTCAACATTTTTAAAAGTTTATGTCACAAAGTATATGCATAGTAATTGATTTGTCAATATTTATTAGCCATTGTATGTAAATACTTTAAACAGCAATAACATATAATTTAAGTTTTCAATAGCCAAGAACTAAAATATTTGCGTATTATTAAATCCCTCTCTGAAATCATTTGAAGTCTTCTGTAAAATTCATGTTTAGTCAATGTGTGAATTTACTACATCAGGATCACATAACATATCATTCCTCCATGAGAAATTATAATATTTCATTACGTTTACATTTTTTTTTCAAACTTTATTAATTTCTACAATATATGTTTTACACAACTACTACGTATTTCCATCTTGGCCAAAGCCCTATCTGGCAACCCAACGGGGTTCAACAGGTTCCACTGTAATAGTGACACTTAGTGGTAGATTCAATTACTTTGGCCATCTTCCTTCAATTAAATTAAGTCAAAAATATTCAAGGTGTTAAACGGATAATTAACCAATACAATTACCATTGAAATAAAAATTTATAAACAGGCAATATAAGTAACACGTTTTCCAAAAACTGTCATTGCCATCCCCCAAAACATCGGCACCAGTTGTGACAGCTCTGAAACATCCTGGACACCTAACGGCAGCTCTAGTGGAAGCCAGACTCAGCTGTTACAAAGGTGCCGAAACCAATGGCATCCCTGATACCTGTTGTGTATTCGATTAATTCAAAGACGAAAGGAGTCGGCTGGATTATTCAGATGAACTTTAGTGAATAAATAGGATGAACGGATCATACATAATGATATACGAAAAAGTGTAGGAATTCAGCTAACATAAGTCTTTCTGAGAAAAAAACCCTAAAAATGATTTCTTCTTCGTCTGTCTTCAAGTGCTTCTTCTACTAGTTATAAAGCATCATGGGATATGTAGTCCATTTGCCAAAGCCAGTGGCAACCATGGTGGCCATTTCTATGGTGGCAACACTGGCAGCTAGCCCCGAAAACAGTGGCACTTGTGACCAATAACGCCAAGTGTCAGCGGAAGTGCCAGTATAAGGTGCCGAAGTCAGCCGAAGTCAGTGACAACACTGACAGCTAGCCCCGGAAACAGTGGCACTTGTGGTGCCGAATGACACTTACCACCGGAAGTGCCATTAGTAGGTGCGGTGTCACGATTTGAGCTCGGCCCTCCTGGAAAACATACAGTCGCTCTACCCTCCCCCCAAGACGAAGACATGTGTTTACATGTTCGCGATCTGAAGGAGCGTAAGGGCGCGGTGAAGTGTATGCGAAGGCATCAT